ATAAGTAATGGATCACAAAAAAAATCAGGGAAAAAATTTTTAAAAACTCCTAGAATCAAATGACAATGAAATCATAACATATCAAAATCTATTGGACACAATAAAAGCAGTTCTAATAGGGAAGTTTACAGCTGTGAATGCACATTTTAAAAGAACAGAGTGATCTTAAATATGTAAGCTACTAATGCAAGGTCCTAGAAAAACAAGAACAATCTAAATCTGAAACTAATAGAAGAAATGTTATAAAGATCAGAGCAGAAATTAATGAAACTGAGACCGAAAAACAATACAAAGGATCAATGAATTGAAGAGTTAGTTCTTTGAAAGGATGATCTGAGAAAGAAGGGAGGAAGGCAAGAGGAATAAGCAGAAGAAATGATAGCACCAGTGAAAAGAAAGACACTGCATGGACCATTCTCCAGGAGAGATCATATGGTAGGCCGCAAAAACAACCTCAACAAATTTTTAAAAATTGAACTCATATTGATTATATTTTCTGACCACAATGCAAAAAACCTCTGCAAATCAGTGACAAGAAATATTTTGGAAACTAAATTAATTCATGGAAATAAAGCAACATACTCCTGAACAATCAGTATATCAAGGAACTAATTAAGAAGGAAATTTTAAAATCTTATGAAACAGAGGACCTGGAAACACAACAAATCAAAACTCATAGGATATAGCAAAAGCAGTAAATGACTTTAGAGCAATTACTGCCCACATCAAAAAAGCAGGACCATCTCAAACACAATCTGTTGTTGCACCTCAACAAACTAGAAAAATAAGAACAAACTAAACTCAAAATTAATGGAAGGAAAGAAATAATAGAAATCAGAGCAGAATCATGCAAAATAGAAAGTTTAACAGTATATAAAATGTCAAATAATGAACCAGTTTTTCAAAAAGATAAAATTGACAAAAAGTCTCAAATAGGTAAAGTCAGATACAAATAAAAGAGATATAACCACTGAAGTGTAAGGATTGTTTTAGATTATTATAAACGACTATGAGCCAAAAAATTTGATAACTTGGAAGAAATGGACAAATTTCTGGACATGTGCATTTTACTAGTTTTTAATCTTAAAAATATAGAAACATGGACAGACCAATAAAAAGTAACAAGAATGAATCACAAATATAAAGAGCTTATCAGTGAAAAACCCAGGACCAGATAGCATTACTGCTGAATTCTACCAAGTATTTAAATAAATAAAACCAATTATTGTTCAACTATTTTTTTTAAAAACGAAGAGCAATTCTTCCAGACTCATTCTATGAGGCCAGAATTACCTTGATACTCAAACTAGACAAGGACATGACAAAACAGAGAGCTAAAGGTTAATCAGTATCCCTGATAAGCAAATGAAAAATACTTAAGAAAATGCTAGCAAACCACATACAGCAATACTTTACAAAGATTATTCACAATGATCAAGTGGAATTCATCTTAGGGATGTAATGATGATTCAACATATAAACATGAATAATTGTGATATACCACATGAACAGAATAAGGAACAAAAACCAGGGCTGGGGATTTGGCTCAGTGGTTCCACTGCCTGCCTCGCAAGCACAAGGTCCCGAGTTCAATCCCCAGTACCAAAAACAACAACAACAAAAAAACCAAACAAAAAAACAAGAACAAAAACCACACGATCACCTCTATAGTTATAGAAAAAGTATTTGGTAAAACCAAACATTTTCTGATGAAAACTCTGAGCAAGTTATCTACAAAAGGAAAAGTAACACAAAAAAGATCGTATTTAACAAATCTACTGCTAGCATACTGAGTAAAGCTGAAAGCTTTCTAAGATCTCAGATAAGACAAGGATCCTAACTCTCACTACTTTTATTCAACACAGTAGTGGAAGTAACCAGAGCAATAATACAAGACAAAGAAATAACAGGGTATTCAACTTTTAAAGGTGAAATTCAAATTGTCATTGTTTGTAGATGATGTGATGTTATATAGAAAGAACCCCAGCGATTCCCTCTAAAACTACTGGAAACAGTAAATGAATTCAACAAAATTGTAGGACACAAAACCAACATGCAAAAATCAGTAATGTTTTTATGGGCTAGCAGTGAATTATGTGAAAAAAGAAAAAAGAAAGCAATCCCATTTAGAATATCTATAAACAATAAAATACTTTAGAATAAAATTAGTCAAAGACATGAGAAGAATCTGTACAGGAAACTATAAATCCCTGATGGAAGCAATTGAAGAGGATGCACACAAAAAAGACATTTCATGTTCATGTATGAGAAGACTCAACATTGTTAAAATGTCTGTACTACCCAAAGTGATCTTTCAATGCCACCTCTATAAAATATCAATGACACTCTTCATAGAGCCTAAAACTTACTAAAATTCATGAAGAACCATAATAAAGTAAGTAACTAAAGCAAACTCAAGCCAAAAGAATAAACCCAGAAGATTATGCTTCTGAGAGAAGGTGAGCCAGTCCCATCACCCAGAAGGAAGCTCCCCGCCTCCATCCCAGGCTCCTAGGGCAGAGAAGCTCAGCCGGTCCCAGCACCCAGAAGGAAGCTCCTAGGGCAGAGAAGGTGAGCC